AGATAGATAGATAGATAGATAGATAGATAGATAGATAGATAGATAGAGTTCCTGTGTGTGGCTGAATGTGAGCGTTGATGACTGGAAGACATCTTCTGCCTCCATTTATCTGTTTACTACAGTCTGTTGGACTCATATTCATGTGAATTTAAAGACATTTCCATTTTTTTTTAAATTGCAGGGGGACATATAAAAAAAAAAGTCTAATCAACAAAAACTTTTGCAACCCCCATGCAGTACCTCCACAGACCCCCTGTTGAAGACCTCCGGCCTACAAAGAAGCCCTCAGTAGCCCAACCAAAGGCAGAGTTTTGAATTCTGTCAGGATGACTGTTTTTCTGACTCACTGTGCAGCTTTAGGCTCGCTGTGGGTCAGACTGTGGTCAACAGAGGGCAAAGGACACGTGAGTGTGTGTGTGTGAGTGTGTGTCTGTGAGCTAAATGAGAACACACTGTATCTGAGATGTACTAAAACTGTGCAACAGGCCGTTGTTTTTCTTGTTTAGCTCTGAGCGTTGGCAGTGTTGTTGTGGTTCGGTTGTGTACATTCAGGTAGATTGTTTCTCATGTTTCCTGTGCTGTGGCTCTTCCTGTGTTTTATTGTGGCGGTCTTGTGGGTTTCCTCCCCCCGTGTCTCTGTTTCTCACCTCCCTCAGTCCCCCTCTAGGGGTCCTCTCTCACCCAGCCTGCTGCCTTCAGTCTTCCTCTCCCTTCAGAAAACATCATCCAGGACTTTTTATTCTTTTATTGCTTTGAGTTTGCTGCCCTTTTTGTGGTATTGTTCTCCAGCTCCTTGAGTTTTAGCTGGGCTGCCTGTATCCATCCCAACCAGGCCTACTTTCAGTGACTCTCACCACACAATACAGAATGAACAGGGACCAAGTGTCAGTGTTCCCTCTTGTTTTGCTCTGTTTCTCTTTCTCCACACACATCTTACCAGGCCAGTGGAAACTCGATGTCTCTGCTAACCTGTTCCAGTGAAATGGTTTAATGTGACCCTGGTCAGGAGTCTTAGCCTCTAGACTTTGGTCTTATCTCTTCTGAGACTGCATTTGGTCTGACAATGTGCTGTTTTGTTTTTTTGGGGGTATGCTTTCTTTTCTCTCAATAATTATTTTGAGCTACAAATACAGTTTTGACACCAAAGCTAGATGATACCAGTTTGGTAGTGCTTTCTGTTCCAAATACGAGCAGAGAAAGTACTGAAACCTTAAACCATTCACTTCTGAAGTCTTTTTTTGTAGGTCAACACATTTATTATAAAGTGAAATGTCACGTATAAAAATGAGATTCCACCTGTGTCTTTCTCTGTGGAGCTCAGGAAAAAAAGCTTCCCCTGTGCAAACAGAACACAGTCCATGTTTGCTCAGATAACCTATCTGCTTTTCTCTCGGTATTTGGTGACAAAGTCTGGCTCCCCCGTCTCAAAT